GTTTTAGAGCCATGACTAACAGGGTTTAAAAAGGTGAAGCATTAATAAGCGGTCACAAACCCAGCAGAGATTAACCCACATTCACATCTTAAGCGTTACACTTTGAACTGCTATTGATATCAACCCGGCGTAACACTGGATAAAGACTAACCGCCTGGCTGTCAACAAGCCAACTGTTACATCAGTCAAACTTTTCCCAGTAGGTTAAGGAACTACATGAATGCCAGTTTAGACTAAATTAACCCAGAACCGGAAGAGGAAATGGAGAAGCAGTCAAATGTGTTGGCCAAACCTAAATGCAATGTGACTTACTGTTTGAGGGTGCTGATTTTGGAGTCCATTGACTCCTGCTTGCCCTTTATGAGCTCAACATCTGTGATCATTTTAGACATTTCTTCAGTGTTCAAGTCCTCGTGTTTAATATTTGACACCTGCAGACAGACACAATGAAAACGTCAAAGATACGAACTGAGGAGTGTGCATGTGTGTGATTGGAGGGCTGAGTCGAGGCTGTCATGACCCGTTTCTGAACCCTCGCATAGTGGAAAGCATGTGTTAACGGTTTGATTTCCGCCCCGAGCTGGACATTTGGATAGAGCGGGAGAGGAAACACTATAAATCGGAGGGCTGGAAGTGGCGTCGATGGAGCATCAGAGTGACGCCAGATTAAGTGCCCCAGAACCTCGGCCTCTAATCCACGCGTCTCCAGCTGGCTTCCTCTCAGACCTGCTGATTATCACAATCTGTCACTGAGCCAACGTGAAAAAGAGGGACACCGGGATTCAAAGTGGCCCGAGGAAACCCAGCAGAGCACATGGAAACCATCACACACAAAAAACTTGATCTGGTTACCAATGACCAGACTCAGAAACTTCTGAATGGAAATATACAAACCACAAATATCCGAACAGAAGTGGAGTGTTTCTTAAATGGTCTGGTTAATTCCTGCTTTCCATTTACTCCATTATACTAAATATATTTAGAAAAATCATTTATGTTTACACCCCCCCCCCAATTCATTTATATATTTTCCCCCTTAAACTTTTTAATTTCAAAGCCTCCCAAAAACAACGATCCCCTTACAAGAGCAGCTAACATGTATTAATTTAAACATGTATTAATTGTGATGATACAAAGACATGTTATATTATGTTTTTATATATTATTATATATTATATTATCATGATGCAGATTTGCATTTAATTACAAATTAAACTGATTTATGATTAATCCAATGATTTCCGACCATTATTTAGATTTACATTAAATTTAGTAAATGTGAAAGAATAGGTTGAAAGATGATAAAAATAAAATGAGATCAAATAAATTTTAAATATTTAGTAAAATATTTCTGGACCCTAGTTTGAAAACCTTGTCCAAGTGTCTAAGAACATATTTATTAAAGTCAGAAAATGGCAAATATATCACTCAAATTGATCAAGCGTACATGACAGAGAAAAAAAACCTTCACTGCTAGTTACACACCTATATTACAAACTACATGTAATGTTGGAAAGCCTTTGCTAGAGTCCAGTAAGAAAGGTTAATTTACAGTGGTGTGAAAAAGTGTTGGCCCCCTTCCTGATTTCTTATTTTTTTTGCATGTTTGTCACACTTTAATGTTTCAGATCAAACAAATTTAAATATTAGTAAAAGATAACACAAGTGAACACAACATGCAGTTTTTAAATGAAAACACTTTTTCACACCACTGTATAATCCCACTTTATTATGTTTTCCCTGTGAGAGAACATAATTCTGGCAAATGTATATTCATACGTGAAATGCTGCAGGTTTCAAAGCCAAACATGAGCAACAGGGAATTCCCCAAAACCCAGATCAATTCAGACCGCATTAGTAGTCTGGCATCATGACTGTGTCCTAAATGAGCTTCAGCCTGACTGTAAAGCTGCTTCGGATCAAAAAAGCCCCTCCGAAATACCAACTAATTGTAAGATCATTCAAAACTCAAGGTCACTGTGGCTCCTCTCTCATAAACACCCCGCTCATATATTCTCAGATGTTTCAGGAATCAGGAAGGCCATCGGGAAGATGAGTTTCTACCTACCGTTGTGACTTTCCTCTTGATGTTCTCCAGCAGATGCTCCTGTCCGCGGATGAAATATGGATGCTGGAATTCTGTGTCATCTTTCTCTGGTTTTACCAGCCCACCCTGCTCGATATGGACAACTTTCCGAAAACCATCTATGAGGAATATATTAACATGTTATAAGCACAGATATCATATATTAACTGCTTTTGGCTTTAAACTCAATAAGTTTTTAAGCATATAAAGAATACAGCACCCAAAATAAGCATCTGAGCACCTTGAAAAGTGCTCTATAAATAAAATGTATTATTATTATCAAATATATCTAAACTGTTAAATGTGGACAATCAGGGACTAACATAATGAAACACTGTAAAGCGGTTTTGAGACTGTGTTTTGTGAAAAAAAAGCTATAGAAATAAAACTGACTTAACTTAAAATATTGATATTCATCCACATTTTTGGATTTTCCAACAAAAGACAAATGAAAATCTTCCATACTGACTGCACCCAAAGTCAGCCTAAACATTTATTCTAAAACTAATCATTAGGCATAAAACTTCATACATATTGTGCATAATCAAACCAAAATCAGAATTTATTTTCAAAGCACTTTAAAAACCATAGAGTGTACCAAAGTGCTGTACAATTTAAAAAACTACAATACATAAAATAGAGAAAAATAAAATATCAAATTAAAGATAGAGATTACAAAAACATCCCAAATACATCTGCTCAAGCTTAAGGATCTTTAAAAAGAGCTGGTCAATTAGATACAGAATTCTCTTATACTTACACATATTGAGCTGGCGAACAAAACTGGCCATGTTATTGTGCTTAAAATATTTCGGCAGAACCTCTTTGGAAAACCTGCTCTGGTCGAACACATGAAAGCTGTTGCCGCTCTGAAAACACATCAGAAATGATTGAAACATCAACAACAGATCAACAAGATGTCCAAAGATTCCAAACAGCTTCAGTTCATTCTGAAATTTAAACAGATTTGTAGCCTTTCCAGAAGGTAAGCATCAGGCAAATCCACTTATAATACTCCATCCAGATTTAGACAAGAGGCAAATACTATTCATTCAATACTTTTTACATGTTCTTATCAGAGTTTATTTTGCCTCTGGCTTAAAGGAGACATATTATGCCCCTTTTTACAATATGTAATATAAGTATCTGGTGTCCCCAGAATGTGTCTGTGAAGTTTCAGCTCAAAATACTCCACAGATCATTTATTATATCATTTTGAAAATGCCTATTTTGAGTGGAAGCAGAAACACGCTGTTTTTTGTGCCTGTCTCTTTAAATGCAAATGAGCTGCTGCTCCCCGCCCCCTTTTCCAGAATAGAGCTGCGCCATTACAGCTCATAACCTGCTAAAAAACATCTGTTTTGGTTCTGATTAACATGTTTATCGCGCTGAAATCATGCGTTTTAAACCATATTAGTTTAAACTTCTGATATACGGTTTTCAGAGTGCACACATCCGAAGCACACGGACAGAAAGCGGCTGTAACAGCATGTGAGTACTAAACTCTCATTCACACACAAGTTTACGTTAAAAACACACACGAGTTACAAAAACAGTCGGTTATGTCTGTGAAGGTAAACAGCTGGGAAATAAATCATATGTTTATTTTAGATCTGTGTGGCAGCAGCAATATACAGTAAATGTATCAATAAATCCACTGCTGTCTTGTCTCCTCTGAGGCTGGGACTCTAAATAGTGTTCTGTGCTCGTCTGTGTGGCTAAACACAGAACAGTTATCATGATTTGCTCAAACTTTCGCCATGGCGTTAGAACTAGTACACCGTTGTTGCTTGCGAAAACACAATAACGGCGCCGTGGGTAGAAACTTACAGATTAAGGGGCGGTAATTTTATAATGAGATCCCTTTGCCACGTCACCAAGGGAGCGAAATCAGCGTTTTCTCAGACACTTGCAGAAAAAGGCTTCCCAAAACAAAGTTACTGGGTTAATCTTTTTCACGTTTCCTTGGTTGGTAGAGGCACCAGGGACATGATTATAGCACTTAAAACCTGGAAAAGTCAGATTTTCATGATGTCTCACCTTTAAGCCTAAACTGGTTCATGACGACTGAATATAAACCAATAAGCAAAACTATCTCAGGCCCTTTTAACCCAAGTATCAACAGGGCCACTTATAACACAAGGTAAAAGCTACAGTAAAATTCAGGTCCCTGTGCCTCCATATCAGAGGTTATTTTAGGCCTACACTAGCTCATCACAGATGAATCCAACTGCAATCCAGTTCTGTAAACCTTCCTCAAACCATCTGAAAGCCACGATCAGCCTCGGAACTCACAGGACTCCAGCAGATTAACGGGTCTGTGTCCGGATCCTCCACCAGCGTCCAGAGTTTGGTCAGAAACGCAGGTACATTACTACCCGAGACCATCACACCTCCGGGCCCCACACTGTGATACTCCATCACAGATAGTTTAGTGATTGCTTCTGACGACAATTACACCTCTGTTATGATGAGTCACTGATGAAGAGCAGAGTTACACACTCAAAGTGTGGCTGTACGAACGCAGATTACACCAATCTGATTATATTTCCACCTCGAAGTATCCGGATCCCGTTTAGAGAGCGATATATAGGCTTAAATTAATTTAGATAAGTGTTTTTGATCATTCAAAAGTAGTGGAAATTTCCATTAAATCCCCACAGCGTACAAACTGCGTAGAAACAAGCAGCGCTGAGAAGAGTCGCGCTCTGATGACGCCACCGCGACGCGTCTTTAAAAATATCATACACTTTTTTTAAATGAGTTTAGACACAAAAGACATAAATAAAAGCACATAACATGTTATCTGTAATTGTTTAAATGTGTTTAAAACGATTAATTTGTACAAATAAAAGGTTTAAATGTGCACACGTTCACCGTTGAACTTTAACCTTTTGCTTCAGACGCCGTTTTAATAAAACGCACTCAAATCGAAAGCATTATATTTGTTAGAAACGACAGATTGTTAGTAAATGCAGATTAAGGATATTTGAAAAGAGACTGTATAAAAAATAAGTAAAACAACCCGACGGCGTCGCCGTTTGACCTTTGACGTCATCGATTCGAACCCACATGGTCGCATTTTCAGCATGCGTCCAACGCACAGCGGCACCATGAGTAAATTAAAAAATAAGAAACGAAATTTAGAAGAGAATGAAGACGAACAGGTATGATTTGATATTATACTGATATAACGTTGTTTTGAAGCAGTAAGAGGCAGTTTATACATAATAACACGCGTGTTTATATAGCGCGAGGTTGACTTGAGGTGTTCTGACTTGATGAGTTTGAGATTAATAGTACAAAATGATGTATTTGCGTTTGTATTACTTATTTAATGAATATTAATAGACTGTCAATAGACACGTGCGTTCACAAAGGACGCGCCCCGCTTTCCCTAACCTCGGTTATGTGTATACTGTATTATTATATACTTTACAGTCAAAAGTTTGGAAACGCATGGCCAGGTATATATTTTTCATGTCATTTAAAACCTGCTTAAAGTTAGGTTGCAGACAAATATGAATTGTACTTTTGTAGGAAATTCATTATCAAAAAGCAAAATTTGGTTTAAATGTGTTTTTATTATTATGCAGTAATGAGTGTGTTGTGTTTGTTTTGATGCATTTGTGATGGTCTTTCTTTCTCAGCTGCCCATCTTTGATAAGGACGGCGGTAAAGATGCTCATCTAGATGATGGTGATGAAGATCAGGGTGATCTGTCAGACGGTGAAGAAAGCGTCTTCTCTGGGCTTGAAGAATCAGGAAGTGAGAGTGATGATGAGGAGGAGGAGGAGGAAGATGAAGAGGATGGTTCTGAAGAAAAGAGCTCTGACATAGAGGAAAATCAAACAGCCGACGGTGATGGAGACGATCAGCTGTCTGCCAAAGAAGTCATCAAACCTCAGGTACCGTGAACCAGCATGTTGACACTTTTTGGTGGAGATTTAAAGTTGCCTTTTAAGTGGTGAAATCCACTCTTAATTTGAATATTGATCAGGACTGATAGTGTGCAGAAGGCAGATTTATGTCACACAACTAAAAAAAAAAACATTTTGATGTACTCTGGTGATATGAAATTGTGTTTTGAAGGATTCATTAAAAGACTTGATCCATAAAGTTCTAAATACTCTGGTGCATATAATCATACAAAATATCAGAGTTGTAGACCATAAACACCTGGCTTATGCTATATATTTTTTCTTTAGCCCATGGCTGCACATTGATGCCATCAATAAATGTATGCACAGAAAGTTTTCGTTGCAAAAAGGCATGATATTATGCCATATGCATCTTCAAAGTCTGCGATCATCTACATGCACAATTTCCTATTAGCAGTCTTGATGTTTGACCTGCAAAAGGCCAGTTAAGAGACTAATAGTCTTCTCAGCAGCATGAATAATCTCACTGACAGAAATATTCATTTTAATCAAACCACAGTATGCCATTGTGTGTATTTGTGCTGCTTGTAGTGATTTCAGTGCTGAAAATAGAGGGAATATTATCATGATTAGCTGGTAGTTGGAAGTTCTGATTTGATCAGATATGGTAATTTGCCTGAAAGTTTGAGAGCCACTGGTTTTCTGTTATATACTATGTTTGCAGCTCATTGTCCTGTACAGATGTGATTTCCATTAGAACTGTATTTGTTATTGCCAAATGTTTTGCATTTAGCTGACTTTCTGTCATATGGAGGACATGGCGTTAAATCATAAATAAATAAATCTGTCATATGGAGTGTCACATTTCTAGATGGTGTTTTGGAATATACTGTGATTCCAAAGTTAATTTGAACACTTCAGCCAGACAAATGTCTGCATGTCATCGCATTTTGTAACCTGATATCAAAGCCGCTTGCTTTAAAGAGAAACACTAGTATTTGCATTTATTTATTTAGCAGATGCATTTATCTAGATATCTAAAGTGATTGTAAAGAAGCAATAACATGAGAGGTGCTAAAAATACAACGTTTCAAATAGGGGTCGACAGATGTGTGTTTTTCAGGGCCGATGCCGATTATTACAGACCAACCAACTTAAAAAAGCACAATGCATATAATAAGTGTAAATAATTTAATTGTCTTCATAGCTCCATTGTAGATGTTAAGAAGACCGCAACTATTTTAATGAAACTATAACACTAATAGCCTATTTTAGGCAAACTTGGTTCAAAAGCCTATTGAAATGTCTAAATTTTTGTCATCCTAATCTTAGCCTATGTGATAGTATCTTAATCTTGGCCTATGTGACAGTAATTTGTAGGGGTGCTCTGATCAGGATTTTTGAGGCCGATCACAGACAGCAGTATCTGCCGATACCGATCACCGATACCAATCTTTTTAAAGCCTTCTTTTTATAATTTATAACTATTTATAGTGATACTCCAATCAGGATTTTTAGACATTTATTCAGGGCCTGAATTTCATTTTTGAAAATGGGGGGAATTCCCCTCTAGGTGACTCTTGTGAGAGGGGAAGCAGCACGGACTGTGCTTTCACACAGGAGTCCACTACTGATCTGTGGCTGTTTACCGCAAACACAACATTTATCCATTAGTTTGATTTCAAATCCAAACACTGTCACTGAAAATGCTGTTTCAGCATTGCAATTCTTTTTTTTTTTTACACAGTACAGTAATACAATCTTTCACAGACATGTTTAAAGGGGCCATATGATGTTGCTAAAAAGAACATTATTTTGTGTATTGGGTGTAATGAATTGATTACAGACCAAGTAGACCGATAATCGATATTTTGAACCGATATACTGTATATGTCTGGTGTAAACATTAATTAATGTCAAAATTAAGAATAACAAGGGCTCTGACAAAAACTGCCTTCACTGGTGTTGGTTGTACTTCTTACTCTTGTCTTCTTCCATGCATCCATCTACAATAAGGGTAATATAAAGAGAGAGTTAAAAGTGGGGCCACTGTATGCTTCATGATTAAGCCTATGAATACTGTACTACAGCTAAACGGCTTGGGGAAATGTAAGTATTTGGCTTCAATAATTTACATGTTAGAAATGTATGTGTAATAGCATAACCTCTCATAATTCCTCATTAATTCTTTTCTGATGGCTAAAACATTACCTACAATAGTAGAGGTGACTATTCAATTCATCATCTAATGCA